GCGATGTTCTGCATTTTGGCGGCCATGTTGGTGTGGAGAATCTGATAGAAGACTGCCTCACTCCATATGCCTTTGAGTCAACATTATGGATTCCTTTGCATATGCTGCAACAGGACTTAGCTCGCTCTCTCTAGCTTTTCTGTTGCCCTTACAGATCTTAGATGAAGGATTTTTGCTTCACTACCTATATCGTGAGTTCTTCTGACCGTTTCAAGATTAAATTCCTTCTTCCACCATTTCGGACGCAGTGCAGGGCCATCAACAATGAAATACCAATAATCTGGTCCTGTCTTAAAATCTCTGGGACTTCTACCAACTTCGACTTCTACCAATCCATCGTCTACGTTCTCTAACCTGACAAACCTGCCGTCGGTCAGTAAGAAGTCCGGAACCAATAGGGGATAGCTGAACTTAATGACCTAAATGAGTTTTTAGTCTTTTCCGGAATGACATTAACCCAATTCGGTCACGGCATCCGGAGTCTCCTATATCACATAAGGGTTGTTTTCCCTTCCTTTAGCAGAGACTTAAAGCTTTGGTGTTCCCTTTAAGCGACGGTCAGCTCGAGAACCCAAATTAGGTAGGACTGTAGGTATGCTCTCCTTTCGTGTAATTTTTTGCGTCCTCTTTTCTAAATTATTATATAATCCACGTGCTATCGTCTTTTTTCTTCTTTTTATTTATGCCAATTTACCTTTTCATAAGAAGGCGAGTGCCTTACTATTTTTTTTCTCTCTCTCTCTTTTCGTCATGTACTATATATCCTCAACATTCCATTCTATACTTTTGATTTGCTTTTCATCCTTTCCCGCTGTCACATCATAATAGGATAGGCCAATACAGCGGTCAGTTATGGCAGTTATCACCTTCACAACCAATAAGTCCAGACAGCCATATTAACCCCGGAAAATCACTACTTGGGCTGTTTTGTTGTGACGTCAGAGGGAGGGATTCCCCAGTTATCCTGAAGGTATATCCTCAAGACATAACCCATTGTCTTAGGAATCCGCACTCCCACTTCAGTATCCGTTTCTTACACTATTCTAGAAAGTTTCTTTAGAGAATTTATAGGATCCTCGCATCTTTGGACATGAACGTGTAATTTAGGAAATCCGTAGGTTCAGCAAATCGCTTAAAAAACGTCCAAAATAAGGCAGCTATCACAGGAGCTTGTTTACCGTGCTAGGGGCGCCACCTGTCTGAGAGAGAGGGAGAGGGAGAGAGAGGGGGAGGGGGAGAAAATGAGAGAGAGAGAGAGTATAAAGCAGATAGGTAAACAAACAGACCGTGAGTATCAGAGTGAGAGAGAGGATGAGGTTTTATACACACATATGTATGTGTGTGCATGTTTGTGTGTGCGTGTTCGCGTGTGTGTATATATACATAAATGTAGATATAAATATATAAACATATACACGCAAACGGTGTATATATATGTGTGTGAGTGTGTGAGTGTATGTGTGTGTGTGTGTGTATGTGTGTGTGTGTGTGTGTGTGTGTGTGTGTGTGTGTGTGTGTGTGTGTGTGTGTGTGTGTGTGTGTGTGTGCATGCATGTATATATACACACAAATAGATATATATTGTATACACATACACACACGTGTATATAGATATATGTATATGCATATATACATACATATATATATATATATATATATATATATATATATATAAATGAACATACACTGTATACATACACACATGCACACGCACACACACACACACACACACACACACACACACACACACACACACACACACACACACACATATATATATATATATATATATATATATATATATATATATATGTATGTATGCATATATGTATGTATGTATGTGTGTGTTTGTATTTATGTATCGATCCTTGTCGCAATCATCATAGGATAGGCCAATACAGATCAATTTATCACCTTCACCAACCACTAATCCAGACAGCCGTATTAACCCCGGAAAATCACTACTTGGGCAGTTTTGTTGTGACGTCAGAGGGAGGGATTCCCCAGTTATCCTGAAGGTATATCCTCAAGGTATAACCCATTGTCTTAGGAATCCGCACTCACCTCCACTTCAGTATCCGTTTATTACACTATTCTAGAAAGTTTCTTTAGAGAATTTATAGGATCCTCGCATCTTTGGACATGAACGTGTAATTTAGGAAATCTGTAGGTTCAGCAAATCGCTTAAAAAACGTCCAAAATAAGGCAGCTATCACAGGATCTTGTTTACCGTGCTTGGGGCGCCACCTGTCTGAGAGAGAGGGAGAGGGAGAGAGAGGGGGAGGGGGAGAAAATGAGAGAGAGAGAGAGTATAAAGCACACACGTACACACACACACACACGTAAACCCACACACACATTATGTATACATATATATGTGTGTGTGTGTGTGTGTGTGTGTGTGTGTGTGTGTGTGTGTGTGTGTGTGTGTGTATGTGTGTGTGTATGTATAAGTATATGTATATGTATATGTATATATATATATATATATATATATATATATATATATATATATATATATATACATATGTATGTATGTATGTATGTATATATATATACACATTAGCCATGAATGTACGTACAGTCTGTAATGTGTATATATACATGAACTCCACAGGCGACCTTCACTGCACTCATCCTGACTCACTCTCTGCACGTGACTCATATTCTCAGGAAATAATAGTCGCCGTTATGGTCCTGAGTCACTTGGTTAGGAAACAACTCTCGCTCGTTATAGAGAGTGATGAGGGTGATGTGGGGGGGGGGGGGATGGTGGTGGTGGTGATAGGGTGGGGGGAGGGGGGGGGAGAGATGGTGATGACGACGATGATGATGAAGTAATTGGTGTTGATGGTGATATGAATGATGATGGTGATAGGACTGGTGATGATTGTGACACTAATGATGATGATAATGTTTACTTTTGGTGGTGCCATGTCCGTAGCTGTAACGTTGAGAATGAGGAGGTAGAGCCTGATGATAAAGATAGTAATAAGGACAGTAATAATAAAGGAGATGAAATAACGAAACATGATAACAATAAGATAACAGTTACGAGATAAATAGAAGAGTAAAGATGATAATAATAAAGTCACATAAAAAAGATGTGACGATAACGAATAAAGAATAACGACAGATAAGAAATACGAAGAGAAGAAATAAAAAAAAAGGAATAAGAAGATTAATGAAAAATAAGAAGTAAAGAGAAAAATAAGAGAAGAAATAAGCGGATAAAAAATAAGATAATAACATGCATGAAGATAGCGATACTAATGATATATGTAAACAAACAAACAACAATGAGCTTTTATAAGACAAATATACAACAACAACAACAACAATAACAATAACAATAACAACGATAATAATAATAATAATAATAATAATAATAATAATAAAAACACGAGAAACACTTATAACAAAGGGAAATATAATGACAATTGGCCTTATTATAATCATTACCTTTATTCATAAGAAAAAATTATAATAAAATCACTAAAATTATTCCCAACATCATTACACACTAATAACACTGAACAAGACAGCTTCAGTAATCACAAAGTTAATGATGATGGAGACATGTTTATAATATAAGATCATGATATCGGAAATGATCATAATCAACGATAATTATCAATAGCCAAATAGCCTCATTATTAGGTAATTATGATCATCTGTCATGTCATGATAATATCGCTGATTAGATAATGACATGTGTGATCATATGGTTATTATTATTATTCGTAATCAGTTTGCGTGAGAGTAATTGATTGCGTTGATGATGATAATGATAACTGAAATTACAATGACAGTTATAGTGATGGTAATGATGATGATGACTATGGTGATAAGTACTGCTATTGCTACTATTATTAGTGTTGATAAGAATAGTAGTAGTAGGAGTAGTAGTAGTAGTAATAGTAGTAGTAGTTGTAGTAGTAGTAGTAATAATAATAATAATAATAATAATAATAA